AGTTAAAAAAAAAAAAATAAATGCGAAAACAAAGCCCCCTTGGCCTTCGATTCGTTCTGCACTGCTTGACTGAAGTGAAAAATATATCCTATCCTCACACAGCGCAGCTTTCATTAATTATTTTAGCAGTTCGGTCCCACCGTCAGCTGCGCTGGGGTCGTTAATTTTTTTTTGTTTTTATTTAAATATGTACTTGCTCATGTTGCTGTTGTTGTATATCTACATTGTGGTTATTGCTGTTGTTATTGTTGTCACTTTTGGTTGTGCGGTTGCAGCTTTATGATGATTTACAATATTATTATATGCACCCATGCCGCGTTCCTTCTGACCACCAGACTGCCATGTCGTCGCCACCCTTGTCGCTACCAACGCTATCGCTTTGCATGCCGGAGCGCACGTTGCATTGGCTTGGCGGTTGCCTCCCCTTACCTTGGTCATTACTGGCTTGGCTCGCTGGCTGACCGTCTCGCTGCAACGTACGACTTCTAGTTGGACGGTCGGTCGACCGGATGGTTTGGCTGGCTGTTGGAATTACTCGTCGACTTTTTTCCTGTTTATATTTTATTTATTATTTTTTGCCATTTGTGCATTTCGTTGTCGACGGTTGTCGGTTGTCGGTTGCTGTTTGGCGGTTTGTCTCTGCTCTATGCTCGCCGCAGCCGCCTGTTCATTGTGTTGTTGTTGTTTGTGTGTGCTGCACAGCACTACACTGCACTGCATTTCACTGGGCTGTGCTGTGCTGTGCCGTGCGGCAGTTGCTTGCTTGTTTGAGTGTATTTTTAATTAATTGCATTTAATTGCGATAATTTGTGTGCACTTTAAATGCAAAATGTGAGTAGCAATTGAGTGCGGATTTTCATATGGTCGGTCGTCATAGTTCCTCGGTCGGTCGGTGAGGTAGTAGAGTCGTTGTCGGCTTCTGTGGTTGGTTGGTTGGTTGGATGTATGTACATATACGTGCAGATGGCAAGAATTGAAGCAACAACAGCAAAAACATTGGACTGAGCAACGATAAAATGTCCAGCAACAACATCAACAACAACAGCGAAAGCAATGTCAATCAGACGAACACTTTACGGGGCGACAACGACAACGACAACGACACCGCCAACACCACATATCGGACATTATCGCTGTCGACATCGTCATTGGGCAATTGAAATTGTAATTGAGTGTTTCGTTATTGATTTATTGAAGTTGATTTATTGCCAAAATGTGTTTACTGCGCTACATTGATGGGTATTAAGCACGTACAGTCATGTGAAAAATAATAGTGACTTGAAATTTTGAACAGTTTTGGCTATTTTTGTTCTGTTTGTTTAATGATTATTTATATGATATATGTAAGTGCAAATTACAAACTTTGTAGAAAAATTCAACAAAATTTTACAACAACAAAAACAACTTTATTAAGAATTTTATAAAAAAAATATGTAGTTTTTAGCCCATTGAAATTTGTACTTTTTGCTAACAATGTTTTTTTGTTAAATAATGGTTTGTATTTTTATAACAAAATAATAAATATTAAGCAAACAAAAGAAAAACTAGTCAAAATGTCGTGTCCTTATTATTTTTCACATGACTATACATACTTACTTGGTCACTGTTGTTGTTGCTGTTGCTTTTGCCTATACGTTTACATTACGTTTCCTTGCTTTGTTCGTCGACTCGTCGTTAGTTTGTTGTTGTTGTTGTTGTACACGGTAGTAAGTGGATTTAACGCTTTATTATCTACTGCTGCTATTTTCGTTATTATCCTTGATTTGCGAGTTATTATTCTTGTTGTTGTTGTTGCTGTTTCCAGCACTGTAACAATTACACATAAATCATCTGTGCGGAAAATCCTTTTACAGCTGTTCGATACAGCAGCATCCATTCAATGTGAAGGCGAACAAAGGTGCGAACATACACGGTTATGCTGTGTAAGTAAAGTAGGGTGTATCCTGGCACACATACATACATTCGCAGTTCTTTTGAACAGATTGATTTAAGTCGAAAGGGAAGCGTCTTACATACATACATACATACAAAATTTATTCACTTTTAGGTCTACGATTTTGTGCTAATATGATTACATATAAACCATTTACGCCTCCCTCTACCTAGATTTGTGTGTAGATAGTATATTCGGTTGTGCATCCCTTGGGCTTAGTGCCTTCCTTGCTTTGTTGTTGCATTTCGAAGCCTTGCCTGCAATTTTGTGTACCGCCTGTTTGTTCTGCGGATGTTTATTTTATTTTTAATTTTTGCAGCGTTCTTGGATTCGTCTCATATTTCCTATTCAGAACGTGCATTCTTGCCTGTGTGTATGTGTTCTTCCTGCAACATCCCCACAAGAAATTGCATTGCGACCGAATTATTTTTGCTATTGTATTGTATAAATACATTTAGTTTCAGAAATGGCCCACAGCAAACAGCTAATTGGTTATAATTTTTCTAGGAGGATCCTCCTTTAAAAGGCCTGCACTGTGTGGTTTTCTTACGATTTTTTAAACGGAAAAATGAACAGAGACCAAATAACCTTTTCTGGTACTTTTCTATGCATATATTTGAAGTCCACAAAACAAGTTTTTTCCCCCGAAAATTAAACATAAAATTCCAGCCGACTATCATCGGTTCTTTGTGATACTGCCAGGAGAACGAAAATTCGCAGAAAAGTGCAATGCAAGGAGCTTGTCAATTAGGGTTGCCAACATTTTCTAAGATATTTATAGTACTTTTTCAAAATAATCGGAAAAAGTATAGTACATTACAAATAAATATAGTATTTTATGTAAAAGAAAAAGTAAAAACGCTTTTTAGGTAATGGAAAAAGTTCTTCCTGTGAATGCCGAAGTTGCTGGAATAGAGAGTAAAAAAGAAAAACCTTTAAGTAAATTTGTTAGTTCTTTCTTAGTGTTTTTTTTTGTAAATGTTGCCTTTTTTGATTATAAACTCACTATGACCTTTTACTTTAAAGAATATTTAATCAATATTTCTTGCAGATTTCTGAAATATATTTATATTCATAGCTGAAGAAACATAGTATTTTCGCGTACTATATTTTTTTCCAACATACTGTTACATAGTACGCGGATCGGAAAAATAGTACAATACTATATATTATAGTATGGTTGGCAACCCTAATGTCAATCCACCCAAAAAGTGAGAGTTGCGGCTTTGTAAAGATTTCTCGATCGCCTGCAGTCCACTTCAGGCCAGAAAGCCGGTGCCGTTGTACATGCCTTTGCCTTCGCCCAGCGTTCGCTGAGCAGACACTAGGTGCAACTGTCCAACAGCACTCGCCTAAGCAGCCAACCCCCACTCTCTCGACGATATCGATGGTGCATTACTAAGTAGGTATTAATCAGATGCAATTGAAAGAAGAGTAATAAGGCAATCCGCTACTAGCATATAGCGAAACGTGGACGAGCTCAGCGCTCTGATTGCCGCTTAGCTGCCAGAGTAGAGGCTTCCTCCCCCACCAGGAAAAGGCTCGCAAGTTTTTTCCTACGTGGTCTCTTCACATACTTATGCTTATTTGTGCGTATGCACGTTTTGCACTGCAGGAGAGGCATGTTTATGATTTCGCTGTCAATTACAGTGAATTTAATTGTCCAACCTTTGCATTGATGTTTGTTGCACCCTCCTATACTTTACACTTTCTGCACTGATATCTGCTACTTCACTTGCACTATGGTGATGCACATTGATGCGCTGGGTAGTAAGGGTAATTGTTGCGTACGTGCGCGATGCCAGGTAGGAATATTGCATATAAACTTTTATTAATTTTTTTTAGCAGTTTACTTTGATACTTGGAAAATCATATTTCTACCGATTATTTTTTTTTTTAATTAATAACAGGTATGCCTTAAAATATGAAATTTTTTTTTAAGAATATAATCTTGCATTCATAAACCCGATTCATGTTTACCACGCAAATTTAGAGATTTTTGGTAATCGAATTCCATTACAGTATCTACTATATTCCCCTGATTGTTATATAAGCAAAACGCGCCACTAAAAATATGCGCCTAAACCAACATAGCCATTTGAATGCTATTTCATTCGACTCTCAGTTCTTGTGCGCAATTCTCAAACGATATAAATAAAAAAATTGTTTAAAATCCAGAACACTCTGCTCGCTCTATGGCATTTCTATCTGAAGATATAACATAGTCACTATAAAAAGAAGTATATCTAGCAGCCCCTTTTAAGTCTAGATCTTAGATTTTTTTATTTATTTTAATTTTCTATAAAATTTTTTTTATTACATATATGTAATTAATTTTATTCAATCAATTTTTTTTTGTTTTATTTGCTTTTTTTTTAATTTACATGTAATTTCGTAAAGTGTTTTCTGGTTTTTTATTTTAATTTTTATTTTTTCTTATTCTTCATTTGTGTAATTTGTTTTTTGCTATTTTGTTGCTTTTATTTATTTTTTTATTTTTTGTGCTTGTTTTTGTTACTTTTGTTTTGTGTACTATTTTTTATTTAGTTTTAAAAACTTGTTACCAATTGTTAATTTTTTTTATTTAATTTTCTTCCCTTTGTTAAAGAGTGATTGTTTTCTGATTATAGTTGGAAAATTTTCATTTTTGCACAACCGTCGTTTATGCATAATTTATTATTGTTTTTTTTTTTTGTAATTGTGACATTCTTCTAACTTACGATCGATGTGTGGTTTTAATTTTGCCTTCGATTTTCCGTTTTTGTGGTTCTTTTAATCACTTTTTTTCCAACAGGGTATTAACACACAATTGTTCAAGTACTACGTGCCTTTCTCTACATTTCATTGCCACTGTTGTACGCCTTGCCAAGCATCATCCACCAACATCATCGTCGTCGCGCTCTATCAATTACCTTTGTCATCTGGCCATTTTTGCTTACTTATGAATTTTCAATTAAATTACTACGCTACCACTGCGCTTGATGCATACTTTATACATATTGAATACATGCATACATACATACAAACTATATATATAGTATCTATATATATTCTCTCTCTCTTGCAGTTTGCATATTTTCATCATAGAGGGCAATAAAAAGCTTAACACTGGACCGGAAGCGTGTCTTTAAAGGGTAATGGCGGCCTCCACTCAGGGAGAAATTCGAGTGGGTCCCGGCCACCAGGTAAACGATGTCTATGTACGTACATAACTCACGAAAATCTCACGGTAACAAGTCTATTTTTTCAAATTCAAAATTTTCATTAAAATCAAATCCAAATCAAAGTTCAACTCAAATCATCTCGAATCGAAACAAATCCAATTGTAATCGTAATCATAGACGTACAAAAAATTCATGCACTATGTAGTAGTCATAATACTTTTTGTTTTAATATACATATTTTTTACTTTTTTTTTTAATGTATTATATCTTACGTGTAACTAAAATTGTTTTACCAAAAAGAATTGGTTTCTTTGAATTTTCATTTAATTTAATTTTTAAAATTTTTATTTTTTATTTTTTTTTTTTAATTTTTATTTTTTATTTTTTTTTGTGCTGCTGCCTTGCGTTGAGTAGCTAGTGCGCTAAAATAATTCACATTTTCACATTTTAATTTGCTGTCTGTTGACATGGCTGACAAGTTGTTACTTGGCGTTACTTGTGTGTACAATACATACATATGTATGTGCATAGAATGTGTAATTTGTGTGTAAATATATTAGTAGGCACTTGTGTTGTGTTTGGTTGTTCGTGATTAGCTGTTTTTGTCGTAGTTTTCTCATTTTTGTTGCTAGTCTTGTTGTTGTTGTTGTTTTTTCGTTTTATTGTTTTGTGGTTTTATTTCATGTTTTTATTTTTCATTGTTATAATTAAGTTAGTATTTTCTCGTGATTATGCCTGTGTAATTAGCACTAAGCGTTTAATCGCATTGAGGTGGTTTTATAAATTTAAATAAATACATTTGCAATTAATTGTATATATGTATGTACGTAAATACTTAACTCACGACAAATATGGGTTAATTGAAATTTAATTGCTGGTATTTTGCTGGGGTTTTAACACCATATCGGTTAGCTGTAGATATTTCTACAGAAGTTAAGCGAATTATGTGCGTGGGAAAATTTTAGTATTTTTGTTTGTTGAAGTGGTCGATTGTTAGGCGTTAAGTAATCCTTACCACCTGTTGCAATATATACCAATGAATAAATAAATAGCGAACAATAAATTACGCATTTTGAATAACTTTAGGTAAAGGCAGATAAAAGTCTTAGGCTAACTGAAATTTCACAATTCTTTCGGACAGAGTTGTTTCCTTTAAATCCCTCAGTCTAAGATCGTTTTCTTTAGAAAGCACTTACCATACCCTGTAAATAAGCTTAGAGATACATTTTGGAGTTTAAGATTTTTTCGGAGTTTTGAATTTTTTCTTACTTTTTAATTTTTCTTGGATTTTTGACTTTTTTCGGACTTTTGAATTTTTTCTTAGTGTTTCTGAATTTGTTCGAGGTTCTAAATTTGTTCGTAGTCCTGAAATCTAGGTTTTACAAAGCTGCTCTGGCTTCTTTCGGAATTGCTCTGGATTTTCTCGGAGTTTTGTTATATATTTTTTTTCAATTCTGGATTTTTCCATAGGTGTTGAATTTTTTCGGAGCAGTTCTGTTGTATTTTTTTCGGAGTGTTTCCAGAGTTTTTCGAGGTTCTGATTTTTTTTGTAGTACTAAAGGGTTTTCCGGCATTACTCTGGTTTTTTTCGGAGCTTTGTTTGTTTTTCGGAGTTTTGTTTGTTTTTCGGAATTTTGTTTGTTTTTCGGAGTTTTGTTGGGTTTTTCAGAGTTTTGTTTGTTTTTCGGAATTTTGTTTGTTTTTCGGAGTTTTGTTTGGTTTTCGGAGTTTTGTTTGTTTTTCGGAGTTTTGTTTGTTTTTCGGAGTTTTATTTGACTTTCGGAGTTTTTTTTGAGTGTTGAGATTTTCGGAGTTGTGAGATTTTTTGGTGTTCTGGAATTTTTCGCAGTTCTGGTTATTTACGTTGTGAATTTTTTTAGTACTGTATTTACAATTTTTTTTTTTAGTTTTTTTTTCGGAGTTAGGATCTTTTTGGAGTTGTCGGGAGCTTCACTGTGAGTTTGAGACTTTTCAGAGTTCGGGATTTTTTGGAATTTTTATTTTTCCTTTTTGGCGTCTTTCTTAATTTTCTGAGGTTGTGCGAGACGTCGAAATTTTTTCCGAATTGAGATTTTTCGCAGCTAAAAATTTTTGCAAAGTTTTTAAATTCTACAGATTCTAGTTCAAAGCTATACAGGTCACCCTATAGAATATTGGTTTTAATGAGAAAATTTAAACAGATCGAGCAGCAGTTACATAAATAGAATTTTCAGTTTAGAAATTATCGCTTCATTTTGTTTAACGAATTTTTAAAAAATTTGTATCAGCCTTATCACTAACTTTTTGATGAAAAATTTCACCGGCGAAAAATTTTGTCATCCGAAATGGTTCCGTTTATCATGAATGTAGAACGATTCCGGTTGAAAGGTATTTCATATACAAAATTTCGAATTTGGGATAACAGCTGTCAAAGCCATTAAAAACATTTCATTAAACAAACCGTTTTGAATGTACACACGAGTATTTCCAACATTTATGAAAATTTAGTTAATTGTTTCGCGGCTTTAACTGTGCGAGCGACAGTTATTTCACACCGGTGATTAATATTAAACATAAATACGTAGGTGAGGGGTATGCGCGAAATTTGAACGAGTTCACATATTATACAAAAACGCTTTCTAAGTGCCAGTTCAATATATTTGCTCCATAATCAGCTAAATAATTGAGTATTTACTATAATAATTTGAAATTTACTTAACTCTCGCAAGTAGCAGCACGTGTAAGGTATATTTCTGTAGAGGAAGCAAAAGAAGGTCAATGTGTAGTGAGAACAAGTCTAACAAATCAACATTTGTATTGGCGCTATTCGTTGACTGACAGCTTTGTTATTTATTAACTTTTATTTTTTTAATTTTTTTAACTTTATCTTTTATTTTTTTTTGCAATTATAATTTCTTGTTTTCGTATCTCATTGGTTTAACAGCTCATTATTCTCTTAATATCTCCATACATATGTACTACTAACTACATACAGTGACTCAAACAAATGACCGCGTGTTGACATATTTTTTTTTTTTAATATTCATAATTTTTATCGAGCTAATTTTTTTTGTAATTTTTCTATAAAAATACCGTCCAAGCTTTAACCAAAACCATATAAATCGCAGTTTCAAACTTGTTACAAAATTTACAAATTTCAACAAATTTTTAACCTGAATCTTTAGAACATTTTTGGGTATGCAGTTTTATAGCCAATACAATTTTGTTTTAATGAAGTGCAAGAATGTCAAACGGCTAGAAACTCCCGTTGATTTTTGAGTTTTTTTTTTTTTTTTTGGTGACAGATTTTTGCACTTTTTCCCATATAAGCTTGAATTTCTTATGAAATAAAATGCGGAAGACCGTTAGCAACAAAATTTCAAATAATCAACGCCAGTTTTTGTAAATTGCACTTGTTATATAAAAATATACCGTAAAAGGCGTCTCAAAAATCAGCGCGAATTTTTTTTTTTGCTGATTGAAACTTGCACTTCATTGGACTAAAATTGTATGAGCGAAATTTGGGAACTGCATTCCAAAACTGTTTCAAAGCTTCAGTTTAAAAAGTTGAAGTTTTGATCAAAATTCTTTGAATTTTCCTAAATTTTTGTATAAAGTGTAATTGATATGTTTTTGGTTAAAGCTTGGCCGGTATTTTTAAAGAAAAATTACAACAAAAAAATTAGTTCGAAAAGCATTATGAATAATTAAAATAAAATCAACACTTGGTCATTTATTTGAGTCACTGCATGTACATACATACATATGTACATACATACGCGTACCTACCATATCATTTGCATCGTATTATTTTCCCCCTATAATTGGCTCAAAATAATTGACAATTAGTAATATAATAAAGTCACTTAACCCGTTCGATATGCTGGCGTTGTTATTGTTATTGTTATACTTCTTGTTACTATTGCCATCGCCTGACTACACATATTGCCAAGCAAAAGCATAACCAGCATCGAATGGGTTCTCTAATAATATGGTTTTGATTTTCACCCCTATTTCCGATCCCAATCCTTCCAAACATTAATCACACTCATTTCATCTACATATGTATTTATGTCGTAGGTATTTTTACATACATACAGACATACATAAATACATACTGCATATAATTGAGAACGTACGTGTATACAGTTTTTTTTTTTTTTTTTTAATTTAAATTGTATAATGGTAGAGTATTTTGTTGCTGTGTTGTGTAAAAATGAGATAATTATAATAAAAAATAGTAATGTATAATAAACCAAGAAAACCATTAATCAATAACAATAATAATAGTAATAATAATAAAGATGTAAATAAACTAAAATAAAAAAATAAAAAAAAAAACTTATAAAATTCTACGAACATAAATCACTTAGAGAAGAGTGTTTTATAGTTATTTTAAATAAATAACCAATCCACAAAATGCATATAAGTTTTACTAATTGTGAAATTGTTTTATGGACACAAAAGGCAAAATTGCCCGATTATAATCCAATTTCAAGCTTCCCTGTTGACAAAGAGAGCGACGAACGCGAACTAGAAGAATCAAGATGGAGTCCTGGCATTGTGGCCGATGGCGATTTGTTAATGTTTTTGCGTGCGGCGCGTTCTATGGCTGCATTTCAAGGTCAGTTGATGTGTGTGTTTGTGCGTGTGCGTATGCTAATGGAAATTTCATTTACTTAATTATTTCGGTTTTCCATTGTTTTTCAGGAATGTGTGATGGAGGACTAGAAGACGGTTGTTTAGCTGCTAGTCGTGACGATACAACAATTAACGCTTTGGATATTGTAAGTACTATACTCTGAACATATGTACATGTACTTGTGTTGTATGTGTAGTACAGGCAAAGTGTAGAATTTCTTTTTTTTTTTTTTGTTTAGGTTATGTAACAAAATTTGTAAAAAAAATTCAAGCTTTCTTTAGACTAGGGTATTCTTAAACTACATAAATGTTGGACTATGCCACTGCACGTGGAAAACAATATCACTCAAATGTTTTCCACGGTACCGCTTGCAGCACCTAATGCCATTGGGGTTACTTTCCATGACTTTTTCACACAATTCGGGCAATAAATGGACCCATAACTTGATGTACCTTGTCCTTTATATGTCGTGAGATTTTTCGGATAAAACAGTGCAGCCTCACATAAAGAAATCCAAAGGCGCTAAATCGCAGGGTCTTGAAGGCCAAACCGTCTGGCCGAAACTCGTAATTATACATCCTGGGAATTTGTCAAGCAATATAGTCATAACTGACTGCGTGGTTTTCAGATCCAAAAACATCTATTAATCATGACGGCCAAGCCATGACTGAGAATTGACGTTCACGGCGGCCCGATGACGCCACTGGTTCACATTTTAATCAAAGCAGTCCCTTTTCGCAGGTACAATGTCTCTCAATGGTTGCAGTTATACAGTATAAAAATTGCTCCAGATTCGAAAATATTGCCTATTTACAAAGCCATGTGCGTGAAATGTTCCTCATCACTGAAGAAGATTTTCCTCGAAATTCAACAAAATACAGCCACCGAAGATACATCATAAGCAAATCTAAATTTGTATGACAGTGTTAAATGGCAGAGGAAAATCCGTTTTACATCCCCAAGTTGGCTGAGCTGTATTTCAACTTGACTTCATTCGCTTCTCAACGGTCAAAAAACTTAATATGAATCTCACATCGGAATTATTGTGAATAAACATTATCCCACAACTCAGGCATGTTTTTAAATCAATCTTAAAAAAGGCCCGATATTTTATTCTCGACATTTTTCGCATCGCCATCGCAAGCTGCTGTGTGATGGAAGTCGCAGGCTTGTGATAGCGATACGATATTTGCGGCTAACTCTTTCAAGAATAGCCTCACAGGTTTGGAGCCAATTTTGATGTTCTGCGTAAGAAATTTACCGGTGAACTGCCAATTGTACATAGGTTAGACCTTTAGAGACCAGGAGCAATGTCCACTTAATACTATGGTTGTTTTTTTTTTTACGAATCATGGGGCATTGGGCCGAACGTTGCCATGTAAAGAAATAACTTCGACCTGCCTTTGCTTTAATATTGCCTTTAAATATAAAAAACACTTGCCCGCTTTTTCTCCATATATAATTCCATTTATTTTAGGCAAGACTTGTCATCAACGCTGAAATTCCGATGCCTCGAAATTGATAGCTGTTCAGCTAGGTTGGGAATAGGTTATCGTGGCTGCCCACATTCGTTAGACCGCCATAAGTTGATTTAATACAGTAAACAGGCTTCTTACTCGTCTATTGTTCATTCCCCTAGAAGTGAAGTCAATTCGTCGTTCTGGTAAAGGTCACAAAATCATTTGTAAATGGGCGGTATACTCAGTCGAGCCAAAGACTCAATAAAGCATGCATTCACATCAAGCAGTGGCCTTCAATACTTCCGATAACATGTCGAAGCGGTAATCGTGCCAGTCGAAAGACTAGACTAGATCTTCTCTTACTAACCTAGGCTATTTGTGTCGTGGTTTCTGCAGACCATCGCTAATAAAGCTATTATCCAGTCAGAGTTTGTAAGATGAAAGCGTGATTGCCGAATTGAAAGCGGATTGATCGCCACAAGGCACTGAGCTGCATTAAAGTTGTATAACTAAATGTGTGACGTGACTATCCTTAATGTAGATTTACCACACTCATGTGCTTGAACAGCTGACTACAACTGTCGGAAGTTTCCACATCAAAAATTATTCTTAAAAAAATAATTATCGAAAACCGTTCACAGGGTCCAAAGTTATCCGCGAACATACGTACATACATAAAAAATTATTCCGACGAATTAAGATCCGCCTTAATTTCGAAGTAGGTTAAAAAGATGAAATGCCAAAGTTTTTGAGACCACCTTAATATTTTATCACTAAAGCCCGCAGTCGTGACGTAAATTTATTGGACTTGAACGTTTAGTTGCAAATATATATATGTATGTATAATTTCGTTCGAAGTCAATTGAGCCCAATTCTTTTGAGCTAAATATTTAATTTATAGTTATGCACGTTGTAGCGAGTGTAATGATTTTTTCTAGGAACTGAAACTCTCCACGTGCAAGTAAATATTGTCAAATAGTTGAGCGTGTTTTTAGCTAGTTGTGTTGTTGCTATTTTGTCGGTAGACACCCCCACTAACTTGAAACGCTGTACCACCTAGTGAGCGAGTCTGCGTCTAGCGAGAGCAACACATTCACAAAGGATGTGTTCTGGCGTTTCTTCGTCCATCTCACAGAAGCGACAGACGCTCGTGTCTGAAAGATTCATTTTACTGAGGTGATAACGCAGGGAATAATGCCCCGTGTAGTACCCAGTGAGAGTTCGAAGGTCCTCCCTGCCTAGATTTATGAGCTTTTTTGAAGCTTCTTGTGATGGACAGATGAACCGCTTAGCTTGTCTTTGCCCCGGACATTCATTCCAGTGCCTTTCGAATTTTTTGTCGACCCACTTGTTTATGACCTCCCTTAAGTGGGCTTTGGTGAGCCCGCAGAAGGGTTCCGGGCCATGGAATAGTAGAGCGAGAGTGACTCGCTCACCTAGGTGGTACAACACTTAATCCATTCGAAATATGGAACAAAAAGCCCACCGAAGTGCTAGCTTATATTAAAAGCCTTCATATATAGGGTAAAGGGCCACGCACAATAGACCACCCTAGAGGTCGCAGTGCTCAAGGCTCATAATAATAATAATAATAATAATAACTTGAAACGCCGGATAATTGCTATGCAAATCTTCGATAATTGCAATGGTGATTACTTTGGTGTTAAAAATGAGTCGGAAATTCGTTTTCTTCTCGATTGAAAACTTCGCCCATTCAAAATACATTCTTTAGGCAATCATTTATGTACAACAAGCGTGTCAAACTCAAACACGCTCATGGGCCAAAAAGAGAAGATAAAAGCATGTTGTGGGCCAAATGTGGAATAAATCATATACATATCGATAGCTGAGTGGAAGATCGGCCTATCTCGGCAGCCACTTCGAAAACGCCCTATCTCAGAAAACTTTTCAAGAACGCCCTACTTCAGAATTTGGTTGAAAAGCGCCCTGTCTCAAACGACAATATATTGAAATTGTGCTGAGACTGGGCGTTTTTGAATCGGCAGCTGAGATGTCGTTTTTCTTTCAAATTCTAAAATAGGGCGTTGTTGAAAAATTTTCTGAGATAGGGCGTTTTCAAACTGGCTGCCGACTAGTCTTCAGACCTGAATCGCACTATTATTTCCATTTGAATTGTGTTCCTATTTACTAATTACATACAACTATATATGGCACATATCGCGCACTGTCTTCGAAAGAGACACAACTCAAAATTTGACATTTTTGAAATTATGCGCTAAAAATGTACACTGAGCTTTTATTTACCTTTCAGCAAAAGCCGGAGAAATTTTTTTTTTTTTTTTTACAAATTTATTGATGGTAATAATTTCTGTAGTTATTTTTTACATACTGTTTGGCCCGGGCCGCATAAAAAATCGAGTTGGGCCGCGAGTTTTGACACCTTTGATGTACAATATTTATTTATTTCGCGGCTATTTTAATTTCAAATTGTATTTAATTTCTCTTCCTTCTGTTGCGTTTAGTTACACGATTCTGGTTACGATCCAGGCAAAGCACTTCAGGCACTCGTTAAGTGTCCCGTTTCCAAGGGTATCGACAAAAAGTGGACAGAGGACGAAACAAAAAAATTCATTAAGGGCTTACGACAATTTGGAAAGAATTTCTTTCGAATACACAAAGATTTACTACCGCACAAAGAGACACCTGAATTGGTGGAATTTTACTATTTGTGGAAGAAGACACCGGGTGCCAATAATAATCGACCGCATCGTCGACGCCGGCAAAGTGCCTTGCGTCGCAATCGTGTCACACGCGCTAGTAATACACCTCCGAAGAAGGAGGATACACCGGAACCACAAACGGCGACGACGGCGTCAGCGACGGCAGATTCGACGCGCTCGTCGCCCGTTGTCTCCAAGGAGGAGAACAGTTCTCTAACCGAGGACGATATCAGCGAGTGCGACAGCGATTCCAGTCTGACAAACAAAAGGGATGAATCACCATCTAGAATGAGGACACGCAATAAACAGCAGCAGCAACAACAACAACAACAACAACAGAATAACAATATAAAAGAGCAAACACAAACACAACAGGTAGCGAATGGTAAACGACCCAAACGTGGTACTGAAACACCAGATACAGTGACGGCTGCAGATAGTCCAAAGACACCAACTAAAGGAGCAAACGCAAACGCAAACGCATCCGAAAACAATACGACAACGACGGTGGCGGCTAATAAGCGTAAAGGCGGTAAGCAGGATACGCCGAACAAGAAGAAGCGTACCGATGTGGACGGTAGCGCAGGTTCCGGCAGTGGTGGCGGTAGCGGCAGTGGCAGCGGCAGCGGCAGCGGCAGCGGCGATGTCACCGACGATGGCAGTCTTAGCAAAGACAGCGCCAAGCGCAAACGGCCCGATAGTCCGGCTGAGGAGAGCATGAACTCTGACAGTCGGCCTGATTCGGTGTTGGATGACGCTGAGTCGAATACGACAGATACTGTAGAACAGTCGCTGAAGGAGGGCAAGGATAGCTCAGGCGGTAAAGAGGATAGTGGTGCTGCAGATGGCGATTTGAAGGCCGATATAGTGGAGAAGTCTGAAAAGCCAGCTGAAGACACAAAAGAGACCATCAAGAATGATGACGAAGAAACGAACATCCAAGCGCCTGTCAGCGGACAGACGGCAATAGCAGCAACCGCAGACGACAGTACCGGCGTTGGCGCAAAAGATCCTCCTGCGCCAAATACAAATGATGAGGGCATGAATGTGGCCAGCGCTCCGCCAACACCAATGAAGGTACCTACAATAGCAACTGTAGAGGCGCTCAATGCTTCCATTGGCCGCGGCGAATTGTCAACTGAACGTAAGGACAAATCAGAAAAGATGGAGGTGTCTGAAAATAATGCTGCCGCCGCCGCCGCCGTCGCCGTCGCTGCCGCCGCCGCTGCAGCCGCTGATATGGCAAAGGAGCAAGAGATGATGAAGAAGATCGCCAATATGAAGCAGGAGTCAATGCAGCAGCAATTGCCACCGAACAGTTCCAACGCAAACATGCAAGACACCGCTATTTTCATTAAAAAGGAGCCTTTGGATGATTCCATGGATGCCACATGCAATCAAAACAGCAATGAGCCGCAAGATCTGAAAGTTAAGATAGAGATCAAAAACGAAGAGAGCAAAAGTAGCACTGGCATGCCGCCTACATCAATGGTTTCCTCTGCCAATGACATATCTGGTGGTAACGATGCGCCACCACCGCCAACACATATGCATATGCATCTCCCACCAGGTGGTCCACATCCACCACCCGGTTATATGTTGGAGGGACAGCTGAAGTATGGCCCACCACCGCAGCCACAATCGATGTCTAGTAATGACAACAACGCTCCGCCACCAACGGGCATGCCGTTAGGTGTACCGCCACCAACGCACAAATATCCTGGTGATATGGAATTGAAGTACAATGAGTCTGCTGCCGCAGCTGCTGCGGCGGCTGCAGCGGCTGGCATCAAATATGAGGGTGGCAAGTTTGGAATGCAAGATATTAAGTATCCCCCGCCGCCATTGGAGCACGCCATGAAGTACGGCACAGTACAAGAAATGCAGGCAGCAGCAGCTGCGGCGGCGGCTGCAGCGGCCGCGGGCAAATACGACATGAAATTCGCCATGGAGCAACAACAGGGCAAATATCCTGGTGACCTCTCGTTACATCAGCAACCACCAAAAGGTTTTCCTGGTGACCCAACAAAGATGCCTGACATGAAGGGATCAATGGTCTATCCCATCCCAAACGCGGAGAGCAAATACGCACCCCCACAAAACCAACCGGGAGACGCTGGTGGTATGAAGTATGGTGGCGGCACTCCACAAGATCAGCAGCCGCCTACACATGGTGCACCACCCGGTGCTACACCGCCACCTGGCATTGCAATGCCGAAGGCCCATTATCAACATGAAGTGCAGCACCCGATGCCTCGTTCAGCTTTTGAGTCCAGCCTAATGCTGAAGTATGGCGATCCGATGGCAGCCAAGTATGGTCCACCACAAGATTTGAAGTATCCCCCACCGCCGCAGGGCTCAAACGATGTGGGACCGATGAAACCCTCGCCATACGCGGAAAATCTCATCAAAGGCTCTCCATATGGCGCACCCGGTGAACCCGGTGGCCTCAAATATCCGCCATCGGAAAGTCCCATCGACGCATCCTCGCGGTCGACACCTGGACAGGATAGCCAGGGCAGTAACAGTAGCTCACAACCTTCATCACAGCAGCAACAATTCCACTCACCGCACCCATCTCCACACTTACCCTCCCCTGCAGGAGGCGGTTTACCACCAGGCATGCATCCACAAAATCTGGTATCTCCACATGGACCGCTGTCGCATGGTCAATTGAACGCTGGTCTGCCACCCGGTGCTGCTGGGCCTCCACCCAGCTCCTTACATCATCCTCATATGACGCCGCCTCCCAACAATTCTCAGCAAATGCAAGGCCCACATCCACAGTCGTCAGTTGCTTCATCAATGCCGCAGACTGCGGTCGGTGCACCTCCTCCATTGTCAACGGTGGCTCCCTCAGGTCTACATCCCCAACACCTCCCGCCCAGCCATATGCAGCAGTTACATCGCCAGCATCCAGATATGTCCGTTGGCATGCATCCGCACGCACCGATTCCGCTCAATTTGCAAGGTCATGATCCACGCGGTGGCCCACCGCCACCTACTCATCAATTGCCTCCGCAATCGCAGCAGTCCAGCACAGTGCGTACGCCATCGCCGGCGCAGCAACCGCAGCCGCGCAACTTGCATGAGGAGCGAATTGGCGTCAATAGTGGTCCACCCTCTGGCCAGCCGCGTGACCCGCCCACTTCGCAAGCGTCGATGCTGCCACAACAATCGCCGCATGCCCACCGTAGCTCCCCTCTCACCAGTATGCCGGGAAATCCACCACCCGGCCTTATTGGTCATCCCATGCCCATACATCCGCATTTGGCGCACTTGCCACCCGGTCATCCAGCGCATGCTGCCGTGGCTGGAGTTGGTCACCCTGGGCATCCAATGTTGACGCATTCTATGGCTGGCTTGGGTCCGGGTGCTGGTCCAATCGCGCTTCTAGCCGGGCCACCCTCGTTGACGGGTATGCCCGAGTCTGCGCTCAGTAGACGCACACCACCATCGCATATTCCACCACCGCATTCCTCGTCCGCGCCTCCACACTCGTCCGTTGCTGTCAGTATGTCTTCAACCACGACATCAGCCAGCAGCGCACTAAGCACGAACACTGTGCCATCATCTGCCTTTAGTCGCGCCAGCCCAAGCGTGCAAGGTCCCAATTCAAACATTGGAGGACCATCAAATGTCAGTGGTAGCGGCGGGCCCGGCAGCGGCGGTACACCTGGTGCTCAAGGAGCACATCGTTCAGGATCGCCCGCCTCGAGTGTGGGTAGTTTGAGCCGGCAGAGTCCGCTACATCCAGTACCGCAAAGCCCACTCAGCCATCATCCATCATCGTCGGCACTTTCGGCGGCCGCAGCAGCTGTGGCAGAGCGTGATCGTCATGCGCTTCTACGACAACAGTCCCCACACATGACACCTCCACCTGTGTCCAGCGCTTCCACACTGATGGCCAGCCCATTGAGCAAGGTGTACTGTCCACAGCCGAATCAGCGTGTACTAGGCACTTCACCGCCGCCACATTTGCGGCCCGGTGCCTCACCACCTGTCATCCGACATCCACAGATGCCATTGCCATTGCCATTGATTCCGCCAGGCGCTGGTATACAACAAATAGGCATGCATCCCGGTCAGTCGCCATATCCGCATCCGCTTTTGCATCCATCGATGTTCTACTCCCCGCACCACCACAACCCATTCAATTACGGTTACGGTCCGTATGGACCTGGCTTCCCGACAGCCTATATGAAGCCACCACCACCCGGTGGTCCACTTGATCCGGCATCAGTCTTGGGCGCGCATCACCCCGGCTTGCCAGGGCCGCCACCGACACGTCCTGACGATCCAGGGTTGGCAGCTGCAGCAGCGGCGGCGGCGGCCGAAAAACAAGCTGTGGTAGCACATCAAATCAAGCAGCAGCAACAACAGCATCAGCATCAACAACAACAGGCGGCAGCACAAGCGCAAGCGCAAGCACAAGCTCAGGCACAAGCCCAAGCCCAAGCCCAAGCCCAAGCGCAGGCGCAGGCGCAAGCGCAGGCACAAGCGCAAGCACAAGCACAAGCACAGGCACAAAATAAGCCACCAACACCAAAGACGCCGCAGGGCAACAACAGCAGTGGCGGAGGCCCGCCGGGCAGTTCACATTCGAACCCCACTGGGCTGCCGCCAGCTGGCTATCCAGGATCACATTTGGCCGGTTATCCGCCACCGCCGCACTCCTCGCCATTCCAGGATGGCCAACAAATGGGACTTAAGCCAACAACGCACATGGATGCGCTGCGAGCACATGCACATTCAGCTAATTTGGGTGGACCACATCATCCAACAGAGCCATGTAAGTGTTAGCTTTAATGCATTTTTTATTTGAAGTGTTTCTTAAAAATCGCAGCAATAAATTAATCGAGAAAAGTTTCACTTCCGTCGTGTGGCCCAGGCGTACTCACTTTAATTACAATTATAAATTAACATATTTTTTCTGATTTGCAGTACCAATCGATATTGAGCCCGATCCAGAGCCGGAAATACCCAGCCCCACGCAAAATATACCGCGTGGTCCTAGCCCCGAGGCCAAACCAGACGATACCGAATGTCATCGCTCGCAGTCAGCTATGTAAATTATGACTATTTAACAAGCATTTGACATATTTTTTAACAAAGCTATTTATTCACATTTGCAGATTTGTGCGTCACATCGATCGCGGTGATTATAATTCGTGTACGCGTACAGATTTGATTTTCAAACCAGTGACCGATTCCAAATTGGCGAGAAAGCGGGAAGAGCGTGACCGAAAACTGGCCGAAAAGGAACGTGAGCGACGTCAAGTGAGTGTTTCAACAGCAAACTACATACATTTAATACTCAAATGTTTGTCATACATATCCTGCAGCAACAACAGCAACAGCAACAACAGCAGCAGCAACAAGCGGTAGCCGCACAACAGGCCGCGCAACAAGCCAAATTGAAGGCCGAGCTGAAGCCCCCATACGCGGACACGCCAGCGCTGCGTCAATTATCCGAGTATGCAAGGCCGCATGTAGCATTCAGGTGGGTGTGACATATGTCGATTACGCAAATAATGCGAATTCTCAGTGCACCAAATATTTTGTTTTTCGATGAGTTCTATCAAACGTAATAGCGTCTAGGCAAATTGGAAAAAAAAAATGAAAGCAATAAAATTTACTAAATCTTTTTGTTTGTTTGAAAACAACTTTTGGCAAACATTTGCTACTACTGCAACCTTTCGTATCACTATCGAATTAAATACATAAACATACAAACATGAAAATTTCATATTTAACTTTAATCTAATTATTATTTTAATACTTAAACTTTTTGTTTTTTGTGTATATCTTACTTTTTTTTATACATTTTCACATTTACTTAGTTTGAGTTTAGATCGATTGCATATGACTGACTGTTCTGTGTATTACGACGCCATGAAATAATTTAAAGTTTATACGTATGTATTTTTTGAATTATTTCAGCCCTGTTGAACAGATGGTACCATATCATCACCCAATGGGGCCAATGTATAGTAGAGAGAGGTACAGTTGCCTAAAAACATTGTTAATTTACTAAACACAAATCGCTATAATAAATCGAGTAATACCAAATAGCTGCTTGACACATCTACATATACAGTGCCGGTAAAAAAAATAGCACTACCGCTATGAACTTTTCATTCCTATTTGAAAAATCTGAGAGCATCACAAGTTTCAGGCTTCTTCTGTTTTAACAGTTAGGTAATAAAAATCTCTTTTCAAGAGTGCTTCGTTTTGCTTGAAATAATAACGGTTCTCTCAACTTCAAGTAATTTGTTCGGTGGTACTCGATTTGAAGCGGTAAAAATAATAGCACTGGCTGCGCATTTCGTTTGAAAAATATCTTTCCTTTACATTTATTAAAAATTTTTCCGTGAATAAAGGTAAATATAATTTGTTTAATACCTCTGTTGTGTAAAAAGTTGAATTTTGTAAATTGTTTGAATAGTTATGGGACGTTGCAGCGCAGAAAAACGAGAAATTATAAAAAAACTAATTTCTCAAGGCAAAACTTATGCGGAAGTGGGCCGTACAGTTGGCTGTTCCAACAAAATGATCCGAAATGCATTAAAATTTGTTCCAAAACCAGAAACACGTGGACGCAAGCGGGCAATGTCACCCTTACTGGTCTGACGGCTTATTCGGCAAAGCCAAAAACACCCTTTTAGGCCAGCAACTGTACTTAGAAAGTAGCTTAATATCACGGCATGTGTAGAGACAGTTCGCTCCCGGCTTAGAGAGAATGGTTTAAAGTCGTGCACTCCCAGAAAGGTTCCTTTATTAACGAGTAAGCATTTGAAACAGCGTTTGAAGTTTGCAGAAGATCATTTGGACTGGCCGGTAGGGAAATGGAGGAACATTCTTTGGGCGGATGAAAGCAAAATTGTGCTCTATGGTGGCAAAGGTGGTCGAGACTACGTTAGGAGGCCCCAGAAAACTGAATTTGATCCCAAGTTCACTACAAAAACTCTTAAACACGGAGGTACTAGTATAATGGTGTGGGCTTGTTTTTCCTAGAATGGTGTAGGCCCTATATATTGGATCAAAGAAATCATGGATCAATATGTACACGTAAGAATATTAGAGGAAGTGATGTACCCTTAGGGCGAAGAGGAAATGCCATTAAGGTGGGTCTTTCAGCAGGACAATGACCCCAAACACACTAGTAGGAGGGCAAAAAAGTGGTTTGGGGATCATTTGATCAATGTTATGGAGTGGCCTGCACAGTCGCCTGATCTCAATCCAATTGAGAACCTCTGGACTGCGGTCAAGATGGCAGTTCATGATGCCAGACCAACCAGTAAAGAAGCACTTTGGGAGGCAGTTAAAGATTCCTGGAGCAAGATTCCAAAAAAGAAATGTCAGGACCTTGTTGACTCCATGCCAAGACGTTGTGCGGCCGTTATTAAAAATAAAGGACATGCTACTAAGTATTAATCTGGAGCCTAATATTTATGTACATACACTTCTAAATGAAAAATTAAGAGTTTACATTTTATTTTAGTTTCTAAGGGCATAACTAATTCTTAGTGCTATTTTTTTTACCGCCATATTTTGAATACTTCCATATAAATACTTAAAAAAATTTGGCGATGCATTAAATTAAGTTTAATTTTTTTTTCATTTAGTGTGGAATAATATGATAAGTTTGTTAGAGAAATAAAAAGATACTAGAAGTAAAATTATTTGGAGTTTTCCTTTGATAGACATCATAGTACCTCACAGTGCTATTATTTTTACCGGCACTGTATATCTACCGCCATACCTCATGCTGAACTATCTATGTATTTTGCATTAAAATCCTATATTAAATTACTTAAGCTATGCTAAAATTATAACCCATTTATTGAAATGCATATTGTGTTCGCTTAAATAGCTATCGAAAAGTTGTACATGCCAGAAGATAATACTGAAATTTTTAATATTGAAATCAAAATGCATTTTAAAAAGTAAATGTACCTTAAACTTCGTGCAAGCGCTAAATATATTTGATGCTGAATTAACTAAAGTTGTGCTGGCATGTATGATTTATGTACATATTTTTTTATTATTATTTTGTATACCTATTTTGTTATAATTTTCTTTTTCACTTGCATTCGCTGCAATATTTTGCTTATCCTACATCGCATGCATATTCACTGTTTAAAAATGCGCTTAATCCTATTTTTTTGTGCTACATCCATTTTGTCATTCATCATCATGCCATCATCCACTGTGTGCCAAAATATCCTTCGTCTTCTGCCCTATCCAATGCAAAAACTCTAATTTTTAGGGTTTCCTTTTATACTACTCGATTTCGCGTTTATCGCATATAGAAACAGCATTAATTTTATTTTAATTTTTTTAGAGAATTGGAGGAAATAAAGAACGCACAGGCTGCAGCTGCCAGTCAGTCACGTCTTGATCCACATTGGATGGAATATTACAGACGGTAAGTGTGGCGGCGGCGGCGGCTTTGAAGTAATCAGCGCACTTGAACGTTTTAATATCATACACCTTCTTTCTTCTTCTCTTTTTTATGAACAGTGGCATGCATCCATCACAGTTTCCGTTGTACGCCAATCCTGCTGCTATATCACAAATGGAGCGTGAACGTTTGGGTATACCGCCACCGCATCATGTCGGCTTAGACCCTAGCGAACATATGGTAAATATTAGCAATGATTTATCAAATTTATTTATTACAAAAGTCAAAGAAGAAAAAGCAAAAACAAGCGTACAAATAAAAATGCATCGACATCCAAAATATGTCATCAAATTCATAGTTATTGCATTATTGTTACCTCAAAATTATTTGATATCCAACATTTTTTATCATAGCATACGTACGTCAATATCGTATCATACAATCTCACATATCGTATCGTACCAAACCAATTTAAAATATATCAAATCGAACTTTCAATCGTATTTGGAAGAAAATTTCAAAATTTGCGAATTAACCTGAACAAAAAGTAAAAAAAAAAAAAAACTGAACAAGCAAAAGTGTGTGTGTGTGCGTGTGTCTGTGTCTGAGTACGTGCCATCATTTCTAACAATCGCTCGGCCATTTGATAAAAATTCGTCTAATAAATTTTATAGCTTAATAATTGGCAATACTTTTATGTAAAAGATTAACCCTCTAAGGCGCAATATAACTGAAGAAATTATTGAATTTAAAATTCCACGCCCTAATGCCGTATTTTCACTGACAGAGTTGATATGACGGAGTTTGACCAATAAAAAAAAAAAAATCTCGTGCCATTATAACAATAAAAAATAGTCATTGTCCACATTTTTAACGGGCGCTAATTTTTTGTCATTTCAATGTTTGGTGAAACTTCGGCATAAGCCATTATTTCATTATTGCATTAATGTCTGTTTGCAAGTTTGTATGAATTATTTTGTGTCTCGCCATGTCTCACCACAGTTCATCTGAGTGTTTGTGCCATTAAATTCGAAGGCATCTTGTGTGTATATGTTGTCTTGTAATACATTTTTTATTTCATATTAATCATTGTAAACTCATTTGTTGGACTCGTTAACTCTTAGACATTAAATTTAATTGGCTTTTGCACCACGTTGCCCGCCATATTTTATTCAATTCATGATTAACAACTAATCATTAGCTTAACATTTAAAATGCATCCAGTATTCATTTTCAAAAAATCATAATGGAATTCATTGAAATAATTTTTTCCGATTTTTCAAAAAATAACGCAACAAATAAAAAAATAAAAAATTTGCCAAAAAAAAATCAAACGATTGCAAATACACACTCAAAACAATTCGCTACGTTTTTGAAAATTTAAAATTTCAGATACGATTGACGAGAGAATATCATGCACACTCTCATACTCATTTACATTTGCCTTTGCCTTCACAGCCGCAACCACCGGAGGCCGGATTTCAACTGCCACGTGAGTTTGTATATAAAATACGTGCCAGCGATTCATATCGCACTGGCCATTTGTATATGTTTTCTCACAAACATTTTTTTTTTCGTTTCATTTATTTCTCCTTGCATATGTCCGGTGTAACAACAGCGAATGTTGGCCAATATCCACGCCCAAGTATGCTTATGCCTAGAGAGCCGGATGTTCTGCTGCGCATGTCCTACGCCGATCAGCTTCAGGTTTCTCCTTATTTTGTTAAATAAATAACATCATTAATTGCATAAATATAGTATTTACAGGCTGCTGAATTCCAGCGACAGTCACTGCACGAACAGTACTTTAGGTGAGTACAAAATTATTTATGTTGTTACTTAAGTGAATATGTAATGCGGTCGAAGACAGTTTACAGTGCGTTTCAAAATATTACGTTGAGCGTAATTTTGGGTTAATATATTGCTTTCATTTGCATACATATAAGTAGGTGGAACAAATGTGTCTGAAAGCTAAAAAGCGTAGAAGCTCAAAAATATCGATCGTATCGGCAAAATGTCGATGTGAAAAGAAATAGGCTTATAACTGTATCGATCACTCCAGTTCGCAATACAAATATTTTGTTGTCATATTTTATAAATAAAACAATGAATAAGAATTTCCTTGATTTGGAAAGGGAAGAAATTAACTCGCTGTTCAAACGGCGGAATGCCCTGAAAAATTTGATCAAAATGGCGAATTAGAATTAGAAGAATTAAAGCAATCAGTAAAAATAAAGAAAAATAAAGAAATTGTGTGATAAAATAATGAAATATAACTATTAAATTTACTCTTCGAGTAGGGTTTTCCCAAAAAGCATAGAATATAATTGCCATGTAAAACTAGTCCGGTCATCTATTTACTTACCTCGTCATCGGTAATGCATCGCCATTCTAACTCGGATGAAAATCCCATTTAAACTGAATGTTAGAGGCCATCAAAGACCAAATTACCATTTCTATAAAAAGGCATGAACGAGGACTTGCAAATAAACGGAGCCAAAATTCATTTAAGACGTAACATGGCCGTACAAGACTCTTAAGTGACTAATGCATGTATTTGTTCTTGAGCATACTAAGCTGTTTAGCGAAATCTACGGCAAAAAATGAAGAAACACGCGAACAATTGACCAATGAAGCCTACTCACATAACAAAAGGATATAAAAGCTTATTTTTGTTCAATATAAATTAGGAGTAGGTTATGTGGTGGTTACGGTGACCATATTAACCAACGTAAAATAAAGGACTTTTTTTTTTAAATGATTTGGGAATACTTACATACAACTTATATGTTAAAGTACCTTACCCATATCGTAATTTAAATTAGATATTTGCCAGTTAATTAACCGATTCCGAAAAATGAAGCCAAATCCTTTTCAAGGACTTCGCCATCCTTTGCTGCCAAAATGCGTTTACCATAATTCATACTGCACGCCGAAGCCAGCACACAGTGGTTCAAAATTGGAATTTAATGTTCATAATTCACCGTAGTCTTCATTTTTCAACCAATTTTTACTAAAACAAAAAAAAAAAATTTATTTTGCTGAAAATTTTTTGTGGAAAATGTTTTGGGGAACCATACAATTGTTTTCAACTAGTCGTTGTTATGTACAATTTATTAACTGGAACAGGAGAAGACATTTTCTTCAAAATTGCCAGCATTTTGCACTAAAAAATTAAAACAATAAAATAAAAATTCACAAATCAGGCTCAACTGGTCTCTTGCAAATATTATAAGCTTTCATAAAAAAAATTATCAAATTAAGTGAAAAACATGAAGGCTCCAGTGAATTACGAACACTAAATGCCAGTTTTGAACCACTGTGCAGTAGGGGGTTTATTGTTCTCTTTCAGTGGTACTTGAAACTCAGCGTGCAACACGATCTTGGGCACAACTTTCCCTATGCTTTATAGATTGTGCAAAGATGACCTATTAAATAAAAATCCTTAAGTGGGGTTATTTTATTTTTATTTTTCTGTGTTTAAAAATTTACCTCAGAAAAATGTAGAGCTGATTTAAAGGACAGTTTAAGAAATAAAGGACAAAAAGCGTCTTTATTTTGAAAAAAATTATAAAGGACAGGGGGTTAAAATAAAGGACTGTCCTTTAAAATAATGCGCAGATTTTGTTCGATAAAATGAAAACACATGAGTGCTTTACAAAAGTTTTTACCTTTAATTTTTTAAACTCTAAAACCCCTTGGGCCCGCATTTTAATACTTCTAGAAGATAGAGAACGTTTTGCTTTATGATTGTTCATTATTAATTTATATATCAGAATGCTAATGCCATGTCTGTCTGTCCGTCCATCCGCTGACGTTCTTCACTTGTTTCATTTGCATTATTTTGAAACACACTGTAAAGACTGTCCCACGAGTCTTAGCTGATGCATTGCCTCGATTCGCTTTATTTTCAAAAGAAAGCCAAATTTTAAATTATGCATTATGAGGCTCTACTTCAGCTTACCGAACGCACCGCATCGCCTGACACAGAGAATGGCCGACAGACCTTGAATGCTTACCGCTAAATTAAAATAAATGCATATGTACATAACAATTCACAAACTTGATCAACAAATAGTGAAGCAATTGCTGCTCGCTTGTATGTATATAAATTTAGAGCATAACAAGTTGCCAACAATTAACAAAACAACCACAAAAACCACAATTAAATTGTATTGCCGCCCCCATATTCAGCATATTTTTGTATTTCCATTCCAAATAAATATACATACTTACATATTTTTAGGTCAATTTATGTTTAACTATCCACCATTTTGTGTGTAATTGTGTCAATTTTGAATTTGTTTTTTTGTTTCGTTTTGTGTATTTTTTTAACAGACAAAGGCCCAGGTAAATGGACCAGTATGGTAGAACGTTTTATAGTATGCGTTAAGTTTTAAAATAAAAAAAATAAAAAAACTGAAGAAAAGGAAAACATACATAAATAAAAAAGCGCCAGTTGTGTGGGTAGCGTGCTGCTTATATGTAAATAAAGCGTGCAGCGTGCTACGTGCGCTCAATCGTTCTACCAAGCAACATCTTTAAACAACTACAACTACAACAACAACAGCAACATCAACTACTACGACACGCAGCAAAGCAAGCAAATTTATGCGTGTCAATCCATTTCGGTACACTCCTAATCTACACTACCATTCGACTCCACTTTTTCACTTCACTCGCATCGAACCTGCGCGTCACTTGGAGTAAAGTTAAGCCACATTATCTCTGATGAAATGTACCATCATTTGTTCGCGTCTTGATTGCCATTCATTGTTTGTTTGTTTTCAAGATTGAACAACGTCAATGTGCGTGCGCTCAATGTGAAGTACATTTCATTTGTGTAATGCTTAATTTTAGGCAATTTATGTAATTGTCACAATTGTTGACAATTTCCCTTCAAAAGTTAGTATACTTCTACTTATATTATATTTGCTATTTCTTATTGTCTACTTATATATGTATGTATATATAGTTCTGTAAATGAACTAATGCAATTACGAAATTCATTCGGTATTCTTAGTATTTAATGTGTATAAGCTTACATGAAAACTGCTGAGCGGCATAAAAATTGTTGCAGCTTAAATTTTATGTAAAACAATGTACATGTGCATATATTGGTATATTCTGATATTATGATGTATTACCAATGTCTCATAAATTAACGTAATAATTAATTTTTGTCAGTAAAATTTTTTTATTGCGTTTTTAGCTTTGCATTGGCACAGCTAAATTTGCTCATTTTTTTGTTTTGGAGTTACATATGTACATGTATCGATATAAGTTGATCATACTATTTAAATTAATGCATATTTATTGCAATAAATATACTACTCTATACTAACATTTTCCAATATTCACACTTTCCCTACAGAAATCAACTGCGTTAGTCCTTACTTGGGATGAATAACACAAAAATTTATCAGAAATAAAACAACATTATTGAGTATGCAATCAAAGATTGGACAACTACAAATCAAACTAAAAACTAAAGAGCAATGACGTACTATAACGGACACGGAAAACGGAACTAACTGGAAATGCATTCGGAGCATATATATAAAAAATGCGAATATCTTGTTTTAGGATCACAAATGTACATAGTATACACTACACTCAAATTTACAAGCACAACTCTATTGACGCTTATGAGTATGTTAACTCGAAGAAAAACGGAACAACAATAGGTCACATAAATTGAACATGAATTTTGCCTACCGTACATACAATTGTAGATTTCAAAAAAAAAGCGTAGTTCAACGAGAATATAAATTAGTGACAAAAACATGATTGCACAGTTATGCGTATGTGGTATATTTTGTAGGTTACTTAATGTAAATTTATACATACAATTTTGTACAATAGATACATATATTTTATTTTTTTTTTTGTAAACGAGTTTTGTAATAAAGCCTTTTGAAGATAAAGTAGGCGACGTGCAAGCCGTTAATTAGGCAAATTAGGTTTTCATTGAAATATTTTATGTATGTACATATGTACATTGGCGAGTAATCATTTAGAAGAAAGAACCAGCTATGCATACAAAAACAACAGACAACTAATTAGCTGATTTCGTCATTGAATTTATCTAGCAAGCGACGAGACCGTTGGCTTGGGTCTAGTAGCAGCTTTATGCATTTGTATAAAAAATACGCTTACGATTGGATTTTGGCATTAACTACATTTGATTTACATACATACTTAAAAAAAAAGCAATAGTTATAAATAAATGTTGCAATCAAGATATTTCGCTAGAGTTATGATGGTACAAATGAACTTGGAATTTAGTTTTCCTCAAGACAAAAGCTTGTGCACTACATACACACTTACTGCATCATATACATATATACACACCTAGGTATATATATATATATATAGATATGTCTTAAGTTCATTATAGCAGGCAAACTAAAATATAATTATGTAAAACTAAATAGCCATGACAGCAAATTGTCTAAAAAGTACTTTTGATAATTAGTTTTTATTTGTACGTAGTCGAGCAGCATTAAGGAGTAGGCGAATTATGGAATTGTGGCATATATAGTAAACAGTTATACATACAAACATACATACATGCATATGTACACATATATTATGCGAAACATATGTGTACACAAACTCAAAACAGTTATGTAAATAGCAACATTTTAATGATGAACAAATATTTAAGGCAAGTCTTTTTGTTTGCCATTTTTAATAGTATTTTGTTAGTTTAAATTCTACCTTTTCTTTGTTTGTGTGAAAGTTTTTTTTATTAAAAACAAATATTTATTTATAGTGCTTTAGTATTATTTGTATATTTCTTTCGATATTTAAAATTATATTGAACAAGTTTTAACATAGAGTGTAAAAAAAAAAAAATAAATGGCACTCATAAAAAAAAATAATAATAATTCAAAATTAAACTAGCCTAAAATTATGAGCTGTTGCTGAGTACATATAAGTTTAAGTTAAAAGTATATATTAAATGTAGAAAAGAAAATGTGAGTAAGCGCAGTGCGATTTGTAATTTGTATGCTGCTAATATTTTGGCTATTGACTGTAAGAGTATGTAGTAATCAAAAAAAATATATATACTTACATATATATCGTATTATAAATGATTAGTCAAAGCGGAAAGTTTAACAATAAAAATTTAGTGACAGCTGACAGGAAATTGAGAACGCGGTATGTACATATAGATATATATCTGATGAATGATAAGCATTTTAAGCAATGAATCTACATAGTAAGGAGAGGTCCCGAAATTTTTTTCGTTTCTTTGTATATTAAACTTGCAGTAATCTAATTAAATTTTCATGCTTAAACAACGGCGTGAAACTGTCTTGGGCGCATACGTCATGTTGGTCGTTCATGGGTTAAATTTGCAAGTATATGAAATTAAGGGCCGATTACTCAATGTAAAATACATACTGCAGATTAAGCATCGTTATCGACGTGATCGATTCCATAACATACATATAACAGGGAGTCGATAACGTCGATAACGATGTTTAACCTATACATTCAGTAACCGGCCCTAAGAATATACATACATATATACATACAGAAGGTGAAAAAATGAAATGATCATAGGCAATGTTGCAACAGAAAGTCTCAAAGTTAACTCCTTGGAAGCTATTAGTAAAAGAATTTGTACCAAATGTTGGTTAATATCACGCAGTTAAACTAATATGAACTTCATAAGCAAAATAAAAACGTTACAACTTATGTTACATATGTACTTCGGAAAATTGTGTTGTAAGAATAAGTTGTCATGCGCCAATACCCAGAAGATAATTAGGTGGGCCTTCTGAAGTGAAGCCATTCTAAAATTGGGGATTTACTGTGTCCATTTATTCAGACACCTATACAAATTTCACCACAATGACTTCTGCAGATACTGCTAGAACGAAGAAGAGCTAGAAACGATCAGGCATTTGGAGCTATCACTTTGTACATCATAGTACGTAAAATAGGTACGAACGTAACATATTCTTTGAATACATTCGTTCGTAGCAATTAGGATTAAAGGTTCATATTTTCATAGATTTTACGACAATGAAACCACGATGGATTCTGTGGTAGCCTCGGTTTACTCGGTGCTTGCCCTGCATTCTGAGTACAAGGTCATTAAACGATTTAAGCGTAACTTGAATGATAAGCAGTAGAAGAACCAATCTGTCAGACTAATAATGATTTATTGAACTTAAATCTTACCAATTTTTGATTCAAAATCCATCTGGTAAGGCAAGTCGCATGAAAGAGGCGTAATTTTTCTATTATCAGCTTATTTTTGAGCGTTGTCTTTCGAACCATTACAGTTAGAGGCCACTTTACGGACATATTTTTGAACCAAAATGCCTGTAATTTAATACAAGCCAACTCTTACTTCGAGATGTGTAAAACAGAAATTTCACATTTTAAGTTTAGCTGACACTTGATTCACCCTTTTTTTCTCGCCTAAGTTAACCACTTCATTTTGCCAGCTACTGTATGCATTTGTGATTTTATGTATGTGCAAATTTTTAACGATGTTTCTCTAGTAAAAAGGGGGGAAAAAATACATTACAAATTTGAAATGCATATAACCGCAGCTGCATTCGATTTTTTCGATTCACTTCAAAGATGGACAAATTTTTGTATGGTTTTAAAAATGTAGTAGATAAATGAACATAAAATGCTTTAAAATTACACGCTCTTCATTGCCAAGGACACACAACTCATTTAAGCTTAACTAAGGAATTAAATTTATATTATGTATGTATGTATCCAAATACCATGAAAAGAAAAAAAATCGCCGTAAATATTTTTTGTTTTTGTTCTTTCGTGTGGTCATAAATTTTAATTTAACTTTTTGAAATTGCGTAAAATTTCACTTGTGTAACACTCTGAAGGCAAGCAAGTGACATCAGCTTATATTTTGCTCTTTCACATAACTAAGAAAAATAGATACACAAAAAGCATTCAAAGAGAAATTAAAAAAAGTAGCTATTGTAACAAAAGGAAGATACAAAAATAAAGTGTTATTAAAATAAAAAGCGAACGCCAGTTTAGCTATGAGCTCTTACTGCAGCATTAAAAAAAAAAAAAAAAAATAACAGCAAATTAAAATAGTGTAAACACAGCACCAATTTAAAACAACAAATACTACGTATATACATACATATGTACATACATACGTATATATAGTACATTATGTACTCATATTCATATATTTTTATTTTAAGGTCCCAGCACCGCAACTAGGCTAAAATGTATAGCAAACATGTACTTTATAAGCAATTATTATAAAAAAATTAATATTTTACAATTAATAACTAACTATGTATGCTAGTTATTATGAAGAAAAATAAATTGTAATTATTGTAGTGACTAACATTATTGTGAAAGCGTAACAAAATACAACATTAAAACAAAAAAAAAAAAAAAACTTAACTAAACCCATTGTTTGTAAGGATTTTGAGTTAGAACAAAATTAAACAGGTAAAAAGAAAATATCGAAAAAAGCTTATTTGAATTTTGAATTGAGTTAATAGTTTACAAAAACAAACTTTATTGAATATCACAAAAACAATTTACTTTTACGCATATATATATATATATA